TTTTAGCTCTGCCAACCCCTTTCACCTACTCTCTTTTTGGACTCCTTGCTGCTGTACCTGGTTTCCCCACCCCTCCAGTCTCCCTTTGCCTCTCCCCTCTCTTCACATGGCTCGAGTTCATATCCACTCTGGGCTTTCCCAGGTGCCTGCCTCTGGCTATGCTCTCCCACATATCTACATTTTCTCCTCTACCACATATGGGAACTAGTCACATTCCTTTCGTTTTTATTTTTATTTTTTTTCATTTACTGTGGGCCCCTCAAGCCCCCCAGGTGTCAGCTCCCAAGACCTAGAAACACATTTAACCTGGATGTCCAGTGGCTACACCTATCGGGATCCCAGAAGAATTCCCTACTAACAGCCAGGTGGTGGTGGTGGTGGTGGTGGTGGTGGTGGTGGTAGCGCACGCCTTTAATCCCAGCACTCCAGAATCAGAGACAGGCAGTTTCCTATGAGTTCAAGGCCAACCTGGTCTCCTGAGTGAGTTCCAGGACAGCCTCCAAAGCTACAGAGAAGCCCCGTCTTGAAAAATGAAAAAAAAAAAATCACAAAACCCAACTACTAACAATACACAACCACCACACTCTCCTAAGAGCCAGAGAGGGCAACAGAAACCAAGGAACAAAACTCTCACCCAACTAAGATAACACCAGATATCAGCACCTAGAATTACAATCTTCCCAAACCCAGATGCCTATGTGCCAGTGTGAAAACACAGTAACAGCCAGGGCAGTCTGCACAGGAGCTCAGCAACCCTACCGCAGCAGGTCCAGAGCATTGCCACAAAGCTGAAAGGCCATTGCAATAGCCTATATGTATATGATACATGCTATTAAAGAGGAAATGAATAAATACCTTAAAGAAATCTATGAAGACACAAACAAATCATGGAAGGAAATGAATATAACAGTTCAAGACCTGGAAGTAGAAACAGAATCAATAAAGAAACCCAAACTGAGGGAAACCTGGAAAAGAAAATTCCCTGGGATTCCTGGGTGTCTTTTGCTATGTCCTCCTCTCTATCTCTAACTTTGTTAATTTGGATCTTCCCTCATTGCCCCTAAGTTACTTTGGCTAAGGCCTTGTAAATCTTACTGATTTTTCTCAAAGAAACAATATTTGTTTCCTTTGTTGTTCCTATTTTATTGATTTTTAGACCGGAGTTTAATTATCTCTCGTTATCTGCTCCTTTCTGGTGAAACATTTTTTCTTTTCTGTTTTTCTTTTTCTGGTTCTAGAGCTTTCAGTTGTGGCATTCATTGCATTGCTAGCATGAGCTCTCTCCTTTTTTTTTTTTTTGTGTATATATGTGCTTAGTGCTATAAATTTGCCTCTTAGAAGTTCAGGAGGTATTACCATCCCCAATGTAAAACCAGGGGATGTCTCATCCTACCAGTAATACTTGCTCAAACATATTCATTGATGTTCTAGTCATAATAGCCAGGAATTGGAAACAACATAGAAGTCCCTTAACAGAAGAATGCATTACGGAAACGCGGTACATTTATACAATGGAGTGTAGGGAGAGATCTTACTAGGTACCCCTAGTGCTGGCCACACCCATTTGTAAAGGAAGATTGCCATACACAGGATAGGATGTCATAGGTTAATTTTATTGAAGAGAAATCACTTACATTTCTCGAGAAACCGATAACCCGGGGTCAGCGCTCCAAGCATCCAGTCTCAGCTGCTCTCCAAGACCTGGCTGGAACCCCAAGAGAGAGAGCCACGCTCCTCTCCCTAGGCCTATATCCCATACGCCCCATAAGCATCTGTGGCCACGGCCAAAGGGGCATGGTCAGCGCTACAGGTACCTAATAAGATCTCTCCCTACAACGGAGTATTACTCAGCTGTTAAAAAAATAATTTGAAGTCATGAAACTTGTAGGTAAATGATGGAACTAGAAAGTTAGACTCATAAAGACAAATATGATATGCAATCAGATATATAAAGATAATAGCTGTTTAATCAACGACAACCTACAATCTGCAGAACTACAGAGCTTAGGTATAAAGTAAGAGACTAGGGGGACACATAGATCTTATTAGGAAAGAGAAACACGATAGTTATAGTTGGATAGGGAGACTAGAATAGGCATTTAAGTTGAGCAGGGGAGGGGAAGGGGGCACTAGGGAGGAAATATGGAAATAGCTAAAACTAAGGGGAATTTGAGGGGCAGTATGGCAACCCGATATAGTAGAAGCTTTGTAAAGTACAGACATGCATGTAGGCGATTTAACAAATTGCCAAATAACGGAGGAGACAGCTCTCTAATTGAGCATCTTTTGACAACAAATGAAACTTCCAGTCCTGAGACTGAATTACATTTAATTAAGTTGTTGGCCTAAGTGTGTCATGGAAGCCCCAAAACAAACAAGGCAGTTGCTAGGACTATACCTTGTTCTCCAAAAACTGACGACAAGCGGTGGCTGACACTGAGCCTTCACCCCTATGTACCAGTGTCTTTAGTAAAGGAAGGTACTCTACACACTACCAAAAGAGAAACATAAACACCAAACTACACACAAACCCTTGGAACTAAGCCAGCAAAAACCTTTGCTGGTCTTCCCCAGCAAGATATGCTAGGGCCATGGCGGCAAAAAGCTTGTGGCAGTAATCATAAGCTTTGACTGAAGGGTCATTCCATGAGATAAAAGCCATCACTGATGATGAATGAGTGACCAAGAACCTGAGACTACACAGCCCAAGGATCTAGGGCAAAACCAAATACAATTGTTCTAAATCTCAAAAAGAAAAACTAAGCAATAAAATGGGTCCTAATGATATTCTGTCATACTTAATAGACCTTACTCAGCCACCATCAGAGAAGCTTCCTTCTGCAGCAGCTGGGAACAAATACAGAGACCCACAGCCAAATGGTATACAGAGAATGAGAGATCTTGGGACACTCGGCCCTAAAGGGATGTTTCCATCAAATCCCTCTCATCACGACTCAGGGAACCCCGTGGAAGAGAAGGTGGGGAGAAACAGTGTAGAAGCCAGAGAGAAGGAAAACACCAAGAGAACAAGGGCGCTAAATCAACATGATCAAAGCTCTATGATATCACAGGGCCTGAGACAGCAATGCCCAGGGCTGGCACCGCCCAACCAGGTCCTCTGTGCACTCACTGATATGGCCTCCAGTTTAGTGTTTGTATGGGATTCATGAGTGCAGCCAAGTGGGTTTCTATTTCTTGTGCTTTTTCTTGGGCAATTTCACTTGTTTGTTTTGTCCAGTTCGAATGTGGGAGTTTAGTTTCAAATTATTTTATTGTAGTATATTTTCTATTAGTATTATCCCTTAGAAGCCTGTTTGTTTTCTAAAAGAGAAAGAAAGCAAATAGATCTAGACAAGGGAGGACATGGAGAAAATTGGGAAGGTATAGGAGGGGAAGCCAGAGTCAGGATACACTATTGAATGAAAACAAATCTATTCTCATTAAAAGGAGAAGGGAAGACAACTAAGGAAACCTAATAATAAATACATTCAAAAAGTCTGGTCCTGAAAATGTCCACAAAACCAAATTCAAAACAAAAATGCCCATCAAAATGGGAAAACCCATAAAGAAAACTGTACTTCTGTGGATCCTCCTGAGGTGATAATTTTCGTAGTATGATAGTAACAGATTGTTTACCCTAACTAGGGTTGATAGAAGGTTGTTAATGGATAATATCCTGCTATTGGATGCATGAAATGCCTGGCATCAAGTGTCATATTAGCAACATACGATCAAACAGTTCAACATAAAATGTTTAAAATGTAGTTGCAGGCATAAACACAGCTCATGAGGCCAGAAGTTTCCAATTAGTATATTTAGATGACTGTAGTTCTTTCTGATTATCTATTTGGGAAGGTTTGGTTGTTGCTGTTGTTATTTGTCTGCATTTTCTTGGCTTACTTTTTTTTCTTTTTTGGTTTTTCCAGATAGGGTTTCTCTGTGTAGCTTTGGAGCCTATCCTGGCACTTGCTCTGAAGTCCAGACTGGCCTTGAACTCACAGAGATCCACCTGCCTCTGCCTCCCAAGTGCTGGGATTAAAGGCCTTGGCTTACGTTTAATGATTCATTTATTTTCATTTTCTGTGTTCTTATGAGTGCCTGTATATATGTATGTATATGTGTCTACCATTTGCAGGCCTAGAGCCAAAGGAAGACAAAAGAGACCATCAGATCCATTGGACTCTGGAGTTGTAGGCGACTGCAAGTCTCCCTGTGGGTATTGGAAAACCACTGCACCATTGGGAGTGAAACCTGGATCCTCTGTAAGAACAAGATGTGCTCTTAACCACTGCACCATCTCTCCAGCCCCTCTATGTTTTGAGATGGTCTCATGTAGCCTAGGCTGGCCTCAAACTCAGTACGAAGCTGAGGATAACTTTGCAGTTCTGATCTTCCTGCTTCCACCTCCCAAAATCTGGCATTATAGATATGTGCCCTGTGTTCCTCTAAGAACCCAGACTAACACAGGACACATATCTGCAGTGAGAAGCACAGGCTACACCATCACACCTTGATTAGGGTGACTTTGAAGACACAGTATTAAAATATTTGCTATGTCTCACTGTGTTACTGCATTCCTGGGGTTCAAAGTATCATTGGATCAGTGGTTAAGAGCACTGACTGTTCTCCCAGAGGAAACTGGGTTTGAGTACCAGCAGCTAAATATAACTGAGGGAATCTTGACACTCTCTTATAGACTCTTTGGGTACCTGCACACATGTGCACACACACAACCACAATAAAACACATTTAAAATGACAGAAAGAGGTAACTGCTCCAGTAAGAGGGAGGAAGATGAGAACAAGTTTCTGACTCATGAACTCAAAGCCCCTGTGACAGCTTTTGCTATGACCGTGACGTCCCTCCCAGGTCTCAGCCGTGTTCTTCAACAGGTCTTGGCACTCTGAAGGAAGTGTGTCAACCCAGTGTCAGGCATGAGGTGACTCTCTGACCACATGCTGTGTCCGGCCATGCTGGAGCCCCGCCTTCCTCTTACTCACCTGGGCTGGGCCTGTCTGTTTCTTCCTTCACCACCATCCAGGGCTCTCTCTCTTGCTCTAATAAGGTGATCAGATCAGGTTTGGAAATGGAGCTTCCCACTTAAAAGAAAGGAAAAAAAAAAAAAAGAAAGGACACATGTGTTGACTATTTTTTTGTAAGACTTGACCCTTCTAATTATCACGGGATGTCCTAGAACTTGATATGCAGACCAGGCTGGCTTGCACTTACTTGATCTACCTGCCTCTGTCTCCCAAATGCTGGAATTAAAGGTGTCTGTCACCATGAGCTGCCTGTGCAGATTTTTAAAATACAGACTTATTTATCATAAATGTCCACACACTTGGCATGGTGGATCATGCCTGTAAGCCCAGCAGGTGGGGAAATGAACCAGGGCAGTGTGCACTGCATAGCAAGACCCTTATCTCAGAAAAAAGTGGGAGGGTGCTAATCTCATTTAAATACAGGTCAGGGTTTGTCACATTAGGGGAAAGTACACATACTGGGTGAGAACATGAACCCTTAGGCTACACTGTCTAGTGTAAACCCCATCTCTGTAGCTCACTGATAATATCTTTTATGTAGGCAAGTATGTAAGGTTCTATGCTCATTTTTTTTTTCATCTAAAAACTGGAAATGGTGGCACACACACGTAACCAGAACACCTGAGGAGTGGAAACAGGCAGATGAGAAGTTCAAGGCTGGCATTAGTTTCATGGCAGGTTCACAGCCAGCCTGAGCTACATGAGACCTGGCCTCAAAAAAAAAAAAAATTCAATAATAATGATAATAATAATAATAATAACAATAATTTAGATTGATTTGATGGCATCTACTAGATAGGTTTCACACTAAGATCAAATATTATATTCAGATACTTAGAATACTGTATGACCTATGCTAACACACAATTGCTATTTTTTTTTAATTTCTATTTTTCTATGTTGCAATGCTGGGGATGGGACTAGGGTTTGCGCATGCTGGACAACTGCTCTACCGTTGAGTTACTTCCCTTGGCTTGTTCACGTTTACACCTCATTCTTACAGATTTGCTCAGTGAAAAGGACAAATTCACAGACTGAAATTTCCCTGCAAAGCCTATAAAGGAAGTGTTCACTGAGGAAAACAGAATGTGTTCCTTTCTCTTTTGATTCGATTCTATTGATTTATTATGAAGTGAAAGATAAAGGCTCTTTTATTTAGGTGTGTATGCATGCATGTAGAGTATGTATGTTTCTATGGGGGTGTATGCACAAGTGTGTGTAGGCATGCCTGCATGTGTGTATAGGCCAGGCTCCACTTTAGTTTTTGAGACAGGGTCTTCCAGGCGTTGGTGGCGCACGACTTTAATCTCAGCACTCTGGAGGCAGAGGCAGGCGGATCTCTGTGAGTTTGAGACCAGCCTGGTCTACAGAGTGAGTTCCAGGTCAGCTTCCAAAACAATACAGAGAAACCCTGTCTCAAAAAACCAAAGAGAGAAAGAGAGAGAGAGAGAGGCAGAGAGAGAGAGAGAGAGAGAGAGAGAGAGAAGGTCTCTCTGAACCCAGAGCTCAATGAGAAGATCTCCAAGGTGTGGACAAAAGGCAGGCGCTTCATGAAGCTCCTGCTTTCACCCAAGGAAACCCCACATTATTCCTTTGGGAAGAAGGAGGAACTCAGCTACGTCATAAAAAGTCTATTGATTTTAATTCGTTTTATTTTATGCACATGTGTCTGTCTACATGTACATCTGAGTACCACATGCATGCTTGATTCCCATGGAGACCAGAAGAGAGCATCAGATCCCTGCAACTGGAGTCACTGATGGCTGTGAACTAACTTAGTCCGGTTCCATTGCAAGAGCAGCCAGTTCTCTTAAACTACAATCATCTCTGTAGACCTGAATGCTATTTATTGATTTGTTTCCTTATTTATTTCATTTAGTGTGTTTATGTATTTTGTTTGGTTTTGTACAGAAGGCTACCTTGGAACTCACAAGGTACATGAAGGTGACTTTGAACTGACAATCATCTTTCTGCCTCAGCCTTCTGAGTGAAGGAATGACAGGCATGAGCCACCAAGCCCAGCTTCAGCTACCACAGGAAAGATGGCCCTGTCTTTACACTCAGAGTGAGGAAAGCCAACAGTGTAGAGGACACATCCCCCACTCCTGGGGACAGATGGCCTTACCCACTGTGACCAGGTTGCTGTAGGTCTCCAACATCAGGTCCCTGTAGAAGGCCCTCTGAGCAGAATCCAGGCAGGCCCATTCCTCCTCAGAGAAGTCAACAGCCACATCCCCAAATGTCACTGCGCCCTGAAACCACAGACACAGCAGAGTGAAATGGGGAAGGGTTCAAGATGGACAGACAGAAGGGAGAGGACTCCAGAGTGGGAAAGGAGCCATGGAAATGCTCACGGCGCCTGACTGCACGAGCTCCCCCAGGAAAGGACGATGGTCCCCACCCTACACATCCAAAAAACGTGCATTTCCTTTCCATCCTCATCCTTCAAGTTAGCCCCACAAGAGAACTGTCACCCGGGTTCCGTGTAAAACACCTAAGAAATAGTGTGATTCCTTGAGTTTATTATGGTCTCAGATGACACCGTAAAGTTGTTGTCACCAAAAAGATTTTTGTAAACTATGTAAGATCCTTATTCTTTGCCCTCTTCAAAAACAAAAACCGAAAAAACTAGATGGCACATGTGTCTCAGGCCTTCCTGAGCTCTGGAGACCGCCATCCCCTCCTATCACAGCCTGGATGTCCTGTCCCTCTCATCACTGAACTCTGCCTTGAATTAAAGTCCCTCAAGCAGGATATCTCATCACACACATGCACCCAGGCCGTTCACTCTCAAACCCCGTGTCACCAGCCTGAAAACACCAAAGATGTCAATCAGGATTCAAAGGACACCATGGCCTCAACATTCTGAAACCCCCAAAGGCCCTGCTTCCCTGTGGGACTTTGGCCTCCTCTGCAAGGACAGCTCCCCCTGACCACAGACCAAGCAGACAGCAGATGTGCAGGGAGGCATCCAGAGAAAACTCCAGAAGCAGCAGGAGAGAGGCACAGACAGCAAGTGCTCTGACCTTCAACCCTCACTGTGACGGACGGGGCAGCCTGGGCTGGAGGACTTGTGGTCCTGGGGAAGCTTCCACAAGAGAAAGACAGCAAAGAGGCACCCAACTGAAAGTCACCCCATGTAAAGAGAGAGAGAGTGTAACTTACACAGGCCATGTCTTGAGAACCAGTGCTGGCCATTCTTCCTCAGGATCCTCCCCTGAGGGACAAAAAGAAAGCCTTTCATTGGATGTCACGTGATGTTCCCAGACTGGGGTCTGTGTGACATCACTGACTACTTTGTTTCTCCAGCATCCGCTCTCACGCACTCCTCTCCATGGCTCACAGCCTCCCACACACAAATAGAGGCAGACAGGAGTCCACAGAGAGCCGATCCTGTCCTAACCCCAGACAACCCACCGACAAGGGCTCAATGTGGACATGCAGAGCATAACCATGTCTGCCTTGAAGTTCCTGCAGAAGACGCCAGCAGAAGGGATCCCATCTTCCTTCCTGAGATGCAGCTAGGCCTATACTGTAAGCAGAGGTTCCTACTGGAACCCCACCCTCAGGGACGACAGGCATTACACCAACTGTAACACCTGTGAACACTCAGGGCTGAGCAATGCACACCTGCTGTGGGATTATCCTTCTGTACCCTGAGAATATGTTTTACTCTGGTTGGATGATAATAACATGGATGGCAGAATAAGGCTACATGGGAGAGCCAAAATGAGCACACAAAGAGAAAGAAGGGTGGAGTCAGAGAGTGAGGGACAGAGATGAGCCAGCCACCAGGGAAACAGATGCCAGAGGACAGGTAAAAGCCATGAGCCAGGTGACAAAATACAGATCAATAGAAATGAGTTAACTCACGTTGTAAGAGCTACTTAATATTAAGCCTGAGCTATAAGCTAAAGGTTATGTATTCAGCATAAACTTCTTTGTGTGTGTATTTGGGACCTCGGGGTCAGGACAAAAAAAGTCTGCCTTGGTTTACACATGGCCCAGCTGGAGGGCCTGCAGCTGCTATGCTGTCAGGGTTCAGCGTTCTGTACCCACTTTTAGTAAATGGAATCATACACTATGGGACAATTTCCTGACTCATGCATGATAATTGCTCATGCTGTATTTATTAAACAATGAATTTTTTATTTTGCTTTGTTTATTGAGACAGGGTTTCTCTGTGTAGTCCTGACTGTCCTAGAATGCACACCATAGACCAGTCTGGCCTGGAACTCAGAGATCCGCCTTCCCCTGCCTCTAAATTATGATCCTTTATAATTAGTTACAAAACATGCTGTCACAGGAGGTATAATCTATTTCCCTCTTTCCATGATTTCCAAAATATACAAATATTTTGTATATTACAATGTCAACTTCACTCCGTGTGTCCTAAGCTTTGAGTCTAAAACTGGGTTTCTCTACCTCAGGACACTGACATGATTACTCTGTGTTGGGCTGTGTGGCTGGACTCTCCTGTGCTCTGGACAACAGCCAGCAGCATCCAACCTCTACTCGCAAGATCTGAGTAGCACACACATCTCAGGACTCCCTGAGACAGTATCCTGTGGAGCAGTCATCACAAACGGGGACCAGTGCTAGAGCTAACAGGTCTAAGCTAAGCCTTGTTCCATACACTTTGGGTTTGTTTGTTTAATTGGTTTTTGCTAGAGTCTTACATGTATTAGACTGGCCCTGATGTCCTAATGGTCCTTCCTCCATCTCTCATGCAGAGATTACAGTCAGGCACCACCATGCTCAACTCTCAAGTACACATCTGATAATCCTATGAAATTATACATTTTTGTCTCCTCACAAAATTATATATAAACTTTCTTTTGTTTCTTTATCTTTCCTTCCCTCCTACCTCTGCATACACCAGGCTAGCTAGCCTTTCAGGGGTTCCCATCTCCACCTCCCATCCTGCATAGGAGGGCTGGGATTAGAGACAGGCACGGCTGCGTCTGGCACTGCAGTTTCGTGCTGGCAAACACTGTACCCAGCCCACGTTTCTACATCGCTGTGATAGTTCAGTGTGTGACCTGACGTGTATGACTGCCTTTACTTCATGAAGTTTATGATGCCAGACATCATGGATAAAATGCAGAAAGTCTTCCAGATGTGGGAGTGTAGGTTGACATTGCCAGCACTGGGTAGACAGCAGCAAGAGGGTTCTTCAAAGTCCCGGGCCAGCCTGGCCCACATGGGTTTCACACTAGCCTCTGCAATCAGTGGTGCTGGCCAAATTCAATTTTAACATCCAAAGGAATGACACTAGCTCTTCAATCACACCACATGCAAAAGTCAGCTCAAAACAGATGAAAATTTAAAGGCTTAAACTGATACTAATAGAAAACTAAAACAGGAAAGCCCCCATGACACTGGCATTTGGGGCATTTCTGTAAAAACACAAGCAACAGTGGACAAATGGGATTGACATCCAACTAAACCCTTTACAGCAGAGGAAACAGTCAGGAGCAAAGGGAGAGTCAAGACAACAGGACAGATATTTGCAAACTACACGTCTGACAAGTAGTTAACATCTATTCTCCAGCACCGTGACTTTATAAGGAATAAAGAAAATTCAGTGACAAGGACACATGGTAATTAAGAAGCAGGCAAAGACAGAAATAGACATTTTTCCACACATGGAACATCACTAGGACCTATTAGAGGTACATGGAAAATAAGCATGAGAGAGATACACATTGAAATCACAATGGGAGGACTCCCCATGACTCATATGAGTGTCAGTTAGCAGGGGAGCTGAAGAGATAGCCCAGTATTTTTAGAGTAGCTGATGCTCTTGTGGAGGACCCATGATCGATGCCCAGTACCCACAGGGTGGCTCACAAGCATTCCTAACTTCAGTATTAGGGAATTTCACACCCTCTTCTGGGTTCCTCAGGCACCAGGCATGCACAAGGTACAAATATATTCATGTGAGCCAAAAACTGGCAAATATAAAAAAATAAATAAAATGAAATGAATCTTTTTTTTGGTTTTTCGAGACAGGGTTTCTCTGTGTGGCTTTGGAGCCTATCCTAGCACTCGCTCTGGAGACCAGGCTAGCCTTGAACTCACAGAGATCCGCCTGCCTCTGCCTCCCGAGTGCTGGGATTAAAAGCATGCGCCACCAACGCCTGGCTAGAAATGAATCTTTTTAAAACGTGTCTTTCAGAAAGGAAACATAGCATAGAGAACATGGAGGAAAAAGAACACCGCTGGAGGAAATGTAAATTAACACAGTCATTGTTGGAAACAATGCAAAGAGAACTGTCACATGATCCACAGATCCCACTCCTGGGAAGAGACACAAAGGAAAGAAAATCAGTGCCTCCCAGGGACACTTAAACTCCACATTTATTCCATTATTTACAGAGCTGAGACATGTAACCCCAACAAGAGATGAACGGACAAAGCAAATCTAGAATGAGGTCCGAAACACAGTGCAATGATATCCAACCAAGTACTAATAATATACGGATGAACGTGTAGAAAAATAAGGGAGATAAGCTGAAGACAAACAGACAGACCAACGCTGGGGCTGGAGAGATGGCTCGGACACAGCTCACAATGCCGCTAACTGCAGCCCCAGTAGATCCTCTACGCCTGGTCTCTGGGGGCACCAGTGCCCGTGCTCACAGAACCACACACACACACGGAATCCTGAAGAAAAACAATCAGCCTTTAAAGAAAAAGACCGACACTCCCATCTCACTCTTGCAGAATCTGAAAATGTTATCTCACAGGAACAAGTGACATGGTGGGTGGTGGGGGTGACAGTCAGTGGCTGGCGCTGGGTCAGCAGCACGGTGGTTGAGAGTGGGGGATGTGGATCCTAAGGGACCTGGGAGGACGCTCATCTAGGGCTACAAAATTCCAGCCACACAACACCACTTCCAGATACATCAAGCAACACGGTGACGAAGACTAACGGCTTTGAAAAGACTCGGGAGATACCGAGTGCACGCGCTACAAAAATGTGACCCCCGCCGTGGAATCCACCAAGGCTCCTCAGGCCCCTCAAGCTTTATCATAACTCTAACCTCTGGTCCTCCCCGTCTGTAACGTCCTGGGGACAGGGAGTGACTGCAGAGAGAGACGTCAGGGTCTCTGAAACGATCGCGTGGACACTGAGTGGAAAGGAGGGGACGATGTGAGGACACAGTGGTGGAGGCGCCAACTGCACACTCCGTCCTCACTTCCTGACGACTCTCTACTCAGCACCACAGCCTCGTCTCTCAGACAGGAGGGAAGAGCAAACTCACTCTTGAGTCTGAGGTGCGCGGCGGTGACGCTCGCACTCGGCTCCAGGCCGTCCTTGCCGCGCCCTGGTGAGCGCCCCGCCCCTCGCCTTCACTAGTGTCGTGGGGAGGGAATGGGGGGGGAGAGAGACAGAGAAACACACAGAGAGAGACAGAGAGAGAGAGACAGAGAGAGAGAGACAGACAGACAGACAGACAGAGACAGAGAGAGACAGAGAGAGACAGAGAGAGAGAAATAGAGACAGAGAGAGAGAAATAGAGACACACAGAGAGAGACAGAGAGAGAAATAGAAAGAGACAGAGAGAGAAATAGAGAGAGACAGAGAGACAGAGACAGAGACAGAGAGACACACAGAGAGAAATAGAGACACACAGAAAGAGACAGAGAAACAGAAATAGAGAGACACAGAGACAGAGAATAGAGAGAGACAGACAGAGAAATAGAGACAGAGAGAGAAATAGAGAGAGACAGAGAGAGAGACAGAGAGAGAAATAGAAAGAGACAGAGAGAGAAATAGAGAGAGACAGACAGACAGAGACAGAGAGAGACAGAGAAACAGAGAGACACAGAGAGAGAAATAGAGACAGAGAGAGAAATAGAGAGCGACAGAGACACAGAGACAGGGAGAGAGAAATAGAGACAGAGAAATAGACACAGAGACAGAGAGAGAAATAGAAAGAGACAGACACAGAGAGACACAGACAGACAGACAGACAGAGAGACAAAGAGAGAGACAGAGAGACACACAGAGAGTCAGAGAGAGAGAGACAGCGGGGCGGACGGCGGCTGGCCCAGCGACGCCGACAGAGATCAGGTGTGCACACACACACACACACACACGCGCGCACACGTGCACACTCACAGCCACGCACACGCGCGCACAGACACGACCACCGTCCACACCCGCACTCAGCACTGTGGCTCCAGCCTCCCTCAGTGGAGAATTAC